GTAGAGAGAGTCAGATAAAGCAGGCTTCTTGTCTCTTATTAGCCTGACTTCATAGTAAGGTAATGAAACAGAAAATAATTATTTAGGAGTCTGATTTTCTTCCTAATGGGCTGGAATTATAACCATCCCTCAGTCTCCAGGGGGTGCATGGAGGGTAGGATGGGGACTGGTTCCAGGACTTGCCACAGAGCAAACTCCAAGGATTCCTTATTTAAAAGAGCACAGGACGAGACCTAAGCACATCCTCCTATGTACTGATCTTCTCACACTGCAAACGGCATGTAAGTAAATGCTGTGTGACTAGATGTTATACTGTATTGTATAAGGAATAAGGACAAGAAAAAAAGTTAGGACATGTTCAGTACAGACCCAATTTTTTTTTCTGAGTATTTTCAATCCTTGGTTGGTTGAATCCATGGATGGGGCCCCACTGATATCATGTACAGAGGGCTAATTATATGCAATATATCAGACACCACAGAAAAGGCTAAACGATCCTCAAATAATCTGCATGTAGCCTGTGGGCCACAGATTGGACACTCTGGCGTATTTATGTATGTTATATATTATTTTTTAATCACCCCAGACATTTTATATATAAAACCCCCACCACACCCCCCTTGGAGCCATGCCTTCTCTCATTTGGGGCAGGCTTCCCCTCCGCCTTTTACTATCTGTAAGTCACTGTACCTCCAGAGCACACCCTCGGCCCCCAATCATCCCCAAATCATCCCGTATACTTCTCCCAGGGAGGTCACCCACACCCCTCACTTTAAGCACCTCTTGTTGGAATCTATCTCCAGGCCAGGCCTCAAGCCTGGACCCTCCTGTCCGACTTCCTCTTGAAGCTTCCATAAATATCCCAAATTAGCGTGTCTACAACTGAACTCATCACCCTTCCCTGACTCAGTGAATGAAAACACCACTCTCCACGGAGCAGCCCAAGTTGGAAAACCTGGATACTTTCATATCCTCTTTCTCCCATCCAGTAGTCATGACGTCTTAGATATCCGATCTGATAAATGTGTCATATGGCCCAGCCTTTCCCTGCCCATTCTGCCCAGGGCCACTCTCTTTGACCAATGCTCAGAAACCCTAATTTCAAGCAATAGCCTCACAGCTGTTCCTCGGCTTGCTGATTTTCCTCCTTTAGTGCATTCTCCAGGCTGTTTCCAAGCTGACTCTCTGAAATGGGAATCTGGAATGAGGGGGCAGGGGAAGGGGGCAGACAGGGGGCTGGAGGGTCATGGTGTATGACACACCTCTTGTGGATGGGACACAATTATAAGAGGGACTTTCCCTAACAAATGCAATCAGTGTAACCTAATTCTTTGTACCCTCAATGAATCCCAAACAATTTAAAAAAAAAGAAAAAGAAAGAAAATGGGAATTGGTACCACTTACTCTCACTAGGATGCTTATAATTTAAACACTGAAGATAAGAAGTACCAGTGGTGATGTGGGAGAACCTTCTACACTGACAGTGGGAACATAAAACTTTGCAGCCACTGTGGACAGTTTGGCAGTTCCTCAAAAACTACACAGAATTACAAAACTACACAGAATTACCATACGACCCACCAACTCCGCTCCTAGGAATTGTTCTCCTATCCCACAGAATTGAAAACAGGGACTCAGGCAGGTATTTGTACACCAATGTCCACAGCAGTGTTATTCACAATAGCCAAATGATGAAAATAACCCAAGTGTCCATCTACAGAGGAATAAACAAAATATGGTGTGTACATACCATGGAATATCACTCAGCCACAAACAGGAATGAAATTCTGATATATGCTACAATGTGGATGAACCTTGAAATATGTGAAATAAGCTAGACACAAAAGGACAAATATCATATGATTCCACTTATATAAAATATCTAGAATAAGCAAATTCATAGAGTTTCTGTCTGAGGTGACGAAGAAGTTTTAGAAATAGGTGGTAATGATGGTCCACAACACTGAACATACTTGATGCCAATGAATTGTACACTTCAAAGTGGTTCGAATGGCAAAGTTCATGGTACATATATTTTATCATCACAAAAAAGTGGGAAAAAAGTGAAGAGGCAAGCAATTTTTAAAAACATAAATCTGATCACCTTCCTTGCATGCTCAAATCCTTCAGTTTCTCTAATGCATTCAAGATGATTTTCAGATTCTTTAGTTCAGTAGAACTTCACGCCCTAGTTCATATTTATCTCTGAAATCTCACAGCTCACCTCTTAAATGCACCCTCTGCTCTCCTGTGACAGCCCCTTGTTTCCTGATCACCAGTATGTGACTGCATGCTGGTATTTGTTCACAATTGTTCCTTCCACTTAAAATACCTCCTCCACCTGTTCTGTGGACTCATTTCTAGTCTTCATTTCAAACTTCACTTAAGTCAACTTCTCTAGGAAGCTTCGCTCCGGATCCCAATCTTATTTAAATGTCAAACTTTCTGTGGCCATAGTACCCAGGGTCTCTATTACAGCAGTTATCATGATGTGTAATAATTATTTGTATCTCTCTCACTTGTACAGGGTTCTTGCATCTTGGCTCGGTGCCTGTAGCTCAAGTGGCTAAGGCGCCAGCCACATACACCAGAGCTGGCAGGTTCAAATCCAGCCCAGGCCTGCCAAACAACAATGACAACTACAACCAAAAAAAAGGCTGTGTGTTATGGCGGTGGTCTGTAGTCCCAGCTACTTGAGAGGCTGAGGCAAGAGAATCACGCAAGCCCAGGAGTTGGAAGTTGCTGTGAGCTATGATACCACGGCACTCTATCCCGGGCGACAGCTTAAAGCTGTCTCCAAAAAAAAAAAAAAAAAAAGAAGTTTCTTGCATCTTACCCGTTTCTAAGTCTCCTGAGTACCACATAGTAGGCACTTAATAAATGTTTCAAGAATCCATTCCACAGAATCTTCATCAAAGACCCTTTTAAAGAACCAACTCTCCACTCAAAACCAACAGTGTCACAGAAAAGGTGAGAATTTTTACACATTCTTTTCTGTTTAAAAATATCCAACACACTGAGGCTGTACGAATGAACTCAGCCTCTTATCTACGAACTGGCTTTCGTGTCCTGAATCTCAGAGGAGGATACTAAATAATCAGCACTTTGTAAAATCCATTAAGTCCTCTGACGGCTGCAATTTCACTACAGGGAATAGAAAATGTTGAGATCAAAGGAAGGTTGGGGCAGAACAGAGACGCTCTGGAATAGATAATAAGCACGTCCGTGGGACGTATACTTTCCACCACCACTCTGTGCCCTCTTCAAATATAGGAGGGAATATGTCAAAAATGGTCCCGGACTTACCTGTTGCCACTGGAAGCTGATATTTCTATCTCTGTTGAAAGAAGATAGGTAAAGGGATTCTGAGAAAGCTTTTCCACCACTTGTCCTGTCATGATTCCTCACCTGGAAGGAAGGGGGCTTTGGGTCACCCTCCACCCAGACATTCTAGGAAATGGACAGCACCACAGTCCTCATGGGCAAGAAGCCCCTTCCCTGTCCAGCTACAGATGACAAGTGGCTGGGTGCAGTGAAGGAAATACCACAACAGGAATGAAATAGTTCAACTAGTTGTGTGAAGTGGGAAGTTACCTAAATAATCTTTAGTGTTGCTTGCTGCCAAAAAAATCATAATCTGTCAGTACTTCGCATGCTTCTAATATTTTCCATAGCACTGACTCCAGTACCTCATTCACCACCACCCCCCAAACCACTGTAAGAGCTCGGCCAGGCCCCCTTCTCGCAAAAAAACTGTGCTACCTCTAGCGTTCACTGTTCCCACTTCAATGGTCACAATCTTATTTAGACACTAAGAAAGAACATGCTACTTGGGATTCTGAAAAATAAGGAAGAAGATAAAAAGGACTCACTTCTAGCTCAAGGTAAGTGGTGACTATCAACTGATAATTTAGGATGGAAAACAGCCAACAGCTCTACACTATCCCTTGATCCACTGTAGTTTTCAGGAGCATCCAAGTTAATGGAAGAGACTAGAGAGAACACGGACAACCAAACCAGCAGAATACCTCCCAATCATGTATACGTGGCTTGGGAAGCGCTTTGGTATTTCCATTTGAGTAACACTGATTCTGCTGTCTTGGGAATTGAAGCTAAATTATAAAATGAACTGGGAAGAACTGAGTTAAAAGAACTAGGACGTTTCATTATCTCCTCATCTTCAACCCCCTACTCAGAACTTTTCCCTTCATTCATGATGAAGACCCATTATCAACTTTCATATATATGTAAGTATCAGCCTAAGACTGGGTGCTCTAAACTATCATTATTTTTTCCTAATGTGATTAACTGACTGATTGACAGCTTCTCATTATGTTGCCTAAGCTGGTCTTGAACTCCTGGACTCCAGTGATCCTCCCACCTCAGCCTCCTGAGTAACGAGTATTACAGGTGCCTTCATGCCCACCTTGCCTTAATCCTTTCACCATATACCAGGTGTTCTCAAACTACAGCCTGTGGGCCACATGTAGCCCACCGAGGACACTTATCCCGCCCACCAGGTGTTTTTGCCACCGCTGCCTGTCCTACTTAGCAGCCGACTCGTCCTGGGGCCTGCAATCTGGCCCTCCAATGGTCTGAGGGACAGTGAACTGGCCCCCTGTTTAAAAAGTTTGAGGACCCCTGATAAACCCTAGCTTTTGGGAAATCACTAAAGAATATTTGGGTTTGCAAAATCAAAATACTTTTATGACAAATGTTTTGATAAGGAAGGCAAGTGTCTTGCCAAGACCATCAGCATTATATGTTCCTGTATCTCTTTTGGACTTCAAGTGACCCTCCTGGATAACAAATAATCTTCAAAGTAGGATGGAAAAGTTAGTTCCATGTCAATCAATCACAGAAGTAGCAGTTGGACGGATAAATAATTGCCCACGTGTTCTGAAGTACATGTACTTAGAAATAATTGATTTAAAAGGAATCTTTTTCTCTTCCCTCTAGAATCAAAGATTTCCTGGACTTAGAGGAAGAAATTCACTTACTGGGATGGGTCTGAATCACTTCCTTTGCGTTTTCTTGGGAACTCGGTCACATGTGAGCTGAAGCACCCAATGGCTGCTGGCTTTGTCCCTGGGCTCATGTGACTGGGAACCCCAGGGGTAACACACTGGTTCTCCTCCATCAACACTCTGCCTGTGGGAGATAAACCACACGTTCATGTTCAACATTAACTTTTACTTGATACATATTTCTAGCACACATTTTAATGACTTTTCATCTCGATAGTTTAAAGATATCAGCCAAAAAAAAAAAAAAAAAAACAGAAGGCACGATTAATTACACTCAAATGTTTATGAGAAATATATGTCAGCCCATATTTTTATTTTCTCATCTAACTGGGAAAGAAATTTGAATATTGTAGAAAATGCTAAAAACATAAAGTAGAAAGGGGAAAAGAAACCAAATACCACCAACCAATGTTACTATTTTGAGATACATCTTCTTAGAATTTTTTCTACAGTTATCATCAAAGCAACTGAAATCATAGCATATACAGCAGTCCCCTCGGAGGTTTCACTGTCCATGGCTGCAGGTTCCATGGTCAAACTTATATTAATGGAAAATTCCAGAAATTCACAATCCATAAGTTTTAAATTGTGTACCACCTTTTTGAGCAACATGATGAAATCTCACGCCATCCCCCACTCCCTCCCCCCCAGGACGTGGATCCTCCCTTTGTTCAGCATATACATGTGTATCCACCACCTTCGCTTTACTCACTCGGCCATCCTGGTTAACAGAACCACTGTCACAGTATTGCAGTGTCTGTGTTCAAGCATGCACCAAAGTGTAGGAATAGTGAGGCTGGCACACTGTTATAATTACTCTGTGTTATTATTAGTTGTTGTTAATTTCTTACTGTCCCTAATTTATAAATTAAACTTTATCATAGATATCTATGTGAGGATATTGGCAGTTTCAGGAATCCACGGGGGTCTTGGAATATCCCCCCTTGGATTAGGGGGGAGAACTGTAGTCTGGTATTCTTACACACTGTTGCAACATAGTAACTTTCCAATGTTATTACAGATTCTTTTTAACGATTCTAATGGCTACATAATATGCCATCATGTAGGTGCCTTATAGTTACTGAACCACTCTCCTAGTGTTAGAACCTGTTTGCTCTCTTTTCTTTTTCTTGCCACCACAAATGGGTTTTTTGATACACAAAGCTTTTTATCTACTTCTGGTTATCTACTTTTGGGTAGCACCCCAGAAATGGGTGAACAAGGTCAAAGGGCATGAATATTTTTAACCTGAATTGCTAAGTATGATTTAAAAAATCTCTTTTGTCTCAAATGTGGTTTACTAAATGCTTTACAAAATATAAAAATCAGAGTGTGGGGCCAGGTGTGATGGCTCATGCCTGTAATCCTAGCACTCTGGGAGGCCAAGGCAGGTGGACTTCCTAAGCTTACAGATTCAAGACCAGCCTAAACCAGAGTGAGACCCTGTCTCTAAAAATAGCCAGGCACTGGGGCAGGTGCCTATAGTCCCTGCTACTTGGGAGGCTGAGGCAAGAGAATTGCTTGACCCTGAGTCTGAGGTTGCTGTGAGCTGTGATGCCATGGTACTGTACTGGGGGGGGTGACAAAGTGAGACTCTGTCTCAAAAAAAAAAAAATTACACTCACTGAACTGGCTGGGCTCCTGTAGCACAGTGGTTATAGCGCTAGCCACATACACTGAGGCTGGCGGGTTTGAACCCAGCCCGGGACAGCTAAAGAACAATGACAACTGCAACAAAAAATAGCCAGGCGTTGTGGCAGGCGCCTATAGTCCCAGCTACTCAGGAGGCTGAGTCAAGAGAATTGCTTAAGCCAAGAGTTGCTGTGAGCTGTGATGCCATGGCACTCTACCAAGATGACATAGTAAGACTCTATCTCAAAAAGAAAAAGCTCAGTACAATAAACCCAAAGAATGAGAAGAAAGGAAATCATAAAAGACACTCAATCTCATTAGTAATCAGAAAATACAAACGAAACTGTAGCAATATACTTATTTATTAACAAATACACAGTTTCTACCACTGAAAAGTGATGATAGCAAGTGTTGCTGAGGATGTGGGCCAATAGGAATGCTCATGCTCTGCGGGTGGAAATGGAAACTGCTACAACTGCTTTGGAAACCATTTTTAACATTACCTAATAAAGCTGAAAACACACATAACATATGACTCAACATTCTACTCCTGGGCATATGAAAAAACTCGGTATTAGGAGATACATGAGAAATAACATTAGCAACACTGCTTATAATTGAACAACCCAAAAACCCGAAAACCATAAACTAAATTTCCTGGAGCAGAATGGATAACTTGTTTAGTCACTGAATGGGATACTAACGGCTGCAAAAATGAATGAGGCCCAGCTATGGTCATCAACATGGATGAACCTCAGGAAACATCATGCTGAGGAGAAGAACGTCACAGCTGGTAACAGACAGCGTTAAAAAAATTACAGAAAGTTCAAAAACAAGTAAAACTAAACTAAAAAAAAGAGTAAAACTATTCAATATGTTTTAAGAGACATCTACGTAAGTTGCCACCCTGTACAGAACAGCAAGGGAGCAGTTAACTAAAAAGTCAGAATAGCGGTTGTCTTTGGGAGAAGAGAGGCAGGATGTGATCAGCGAGGGACATACAAGGTCTTCTAAGGAATTCATGTTCTACTTCTTTCGGAAATTTCTGTTTTGGTTTTATTCTTTGAACACCACACATAGAGCAGGGTGTGGTGGCTCACGCCTGTAATCCTAGCATGCTGGGAGGTTGAGGCGGGTGGATCACTTGAGCTCAAGGGTTCAAGATCACCCTGAGCAAGAGTGAAACCTCCAGCTCTACTGGAAAAAAAAAGGCTTGGTGCCTATAGCACAGTGGTTACAGGGCTGGCCACATACACCGAGACTGGTGGGTTCTAACTGGCCTGGGCCTGCTAGACAACAATGACAACTGCAATAAAAAATAGCTGGGCACTGTGGCGGGCACCTATAGTCCCAGCTACTTGCGAGATTAAGGCAAAACAATCACTTGAGTTCAGGAGTTTGAGGTTTCTATGAGCTATGGCAACACAGTATTCTACCCAGGATGACAGAGTAAGACTCTCTCTCAAAAAATTAAAAAAAAAAAAAATTTTTTTTTTCTTCGGTTTTTGGCCAGGCCTGGGTTTGAACCCACCACCTCTGGCACATGGGGCCAGTGCCCCACTCCTTTAAGCCACAGGCACTGCCCCAAAAATAAAAAAAAATTAAAAAAAAATGCATAGGGCGGCACCTGTGGCTCAGTGGGTAGGACACCAGCCCCATATACAGAAGGTGGTGAGTTCAAACCCAGCCCCGGCCAAACTGCAACAAAAAATAGCTGGGTGTTGTGGCGGGTGCCTATAGTCCCAGCTACTCGGAAAGCTGAGGCAAGAGAATCACCTAAGCCCAGGAGTTGGAGGTTGCTACGAGCTACAGAGCACTCTACTGAGGGCAACAAAGTGAGGGTCTGTCTCAAAAACAAAACAAAACAAAGCAAATGCATAATTTTTACTATCCTCTGTAGGCATAAGGGATCTCAAATAAAGAAGGAGAGAGAATAATTTTATAATACCAATGATCACGGACCACTTGGGAATTAACTTTTCAATCTATGATATCCTGAAATGTCTAGGCTTGGACTCTTTAAATAGGATTCTTCAGGATCACCACACACCGCATGGGATTAAATATGGCTTCAGCTCCTAGTCTCAATCTAATGGATTTTGAATGGCAGGCCACCATCTGTCCCTACAGAAACAGTACAGCAAATTTCTTGTATCAAATAGCAAATCAAAGGGAAAAAAAAATCACTAATATTGAACCAACCTCAGCACACCCTGGAATATATAATATCAGAGGCCCAAGCATTCCACCCACCCCTTCCACACACACGTGAGCAAGTACATTCTTTCCCCCTCGTGTAAGTTCAGAGAAAGACAGACAATAAAATCTGGGCAGCTTAATCTTCTTATGTTTTATCCTACTTCCTTATTAACCTTTAAAATAAGAACTAGGTTGTCTTTGGACAGGCAGAATAATCCTTTCACAAAATCAAAATCTAGACTTTTAAGGGTCTTTATTTTTGTTACGTTCCTCAACGGGCAGGGTGTGTCACCTTATAATTAGCAATGCTCTACCAAGTCTGGCTGTCAGTAGGGACACAGTATATCCCAAACAGGGCTTTCTGTAGACAAAAGGAAAATCTGGGTTAGTAGGACTAATTCATTCTAGAAGGAAGGATCTGTTCTCTGGAAACAATTCAACCTTCATGTAGTAGATTTCTTCTTTGTTAGGATGTGACTCATAACTTAAGAGGGTAAAGATTTCATTCTTAACCTTCCAGTTTACTTGACTTTCTGCCTCCACATATGCTTCTTTAGAAGATGAAACCACGAGGTAGGAACTGAAATTCAGCTCACTGTGGAGGGGTGTAATTTTTAATATTTTGATATCGTCTTTCCTCGTGCCAAACTGAGTCACTTGTTAATGGCAAATGTAAATATGCGTTACTCAATAAAATTTAGGAATTTAGGTTGAACAAAGATATTGTGATTGTCTTTTACAAAGGAAATATATGATTTCATTTAAAATATGACATTACCATTAAAATCTCACTCCATAGGACAGCACCTGTGGCTCAAAGGAGTAGGGCGCTGGCCCCATATATGGGAGGTAGCAGGTTCAAACCCCACCCCGGCCAAAAACTGCAAAAAAAAAAAAATCTCACTCCACTTTGCGTAAACCTCCTTGGAGATGGTAATCCATCTCACAATATCTTAAAGGTCTACCATTTAGTATTAATTTCTCAAAGATGAAATAAGTCTTGGGAAAGAAGCAGCTATTTGAAAGTTGTAAGCAGGGAGGACAGGTAGCCACGTGGTTTAGACTCATAGTTACGAAGGGGTTCAAATTCAGAATTTGAGAACGTGAAATTCTCATATGTGAAAGAGAATTACTTACCCACACATGGACATACACATACACACACACTCACAGAAGCCAGGGCAGAATGGAAAACATTCACTTTTCATACAACTTTAAAACTTTTGTTCCATTTACTTACTTGTATTGCCAATAATGTGTGACACATTAAAATCTATGTAAAATTTTCTCTAT